GGCTTCCAGGAACAGGGGAGTCTGCCTCCCCCACTGACTTCAGCAGGCTCCTATCAGGTATTAGGAGAACTAGGAAAAAGACCTCACCATCAGAGAGTTGTGAAGAACAGATTGCAGAAGCAGGAGAGCACTAAATGCGGTTTTGTTACTGGCATGAAAAAGGCTGTAATAGCGAGGAAATTAAAAACTGATCTTGCCAAAGTGTAATTCACCCTCAAATGAAAGATTCACCTGTCAGAGGAAAGGAAGTCTTTATCTACCACCTATATTTGAGGACTGTTCCAAAAAACCCAACTAAAACCCAGCTGCTTTCAAACAAGGGCTTGAATTTGCTGTAATCATGTACAGAGTATCCCACTGTTCATGGATCTGCCTAGCACTGCTGTAAATTCAAGGTGCGATTGCATCAGCTAATATTATTCCTGCCGTTCTCTTTGGTTCGAAATATCACCCGACTCATTTGGGTTAGATATGAGATGTAATTGCCTGGAAACCAGCACACAACTCCAGAAGGGTGCCTTGCTCATTATATTCACCTTGTCCAATAAAACATCCATGCTATTCCTGTGTTGGATCATGTCATCAGGACACTGCAGAGGGTGAGCTTTCATTTTCCCTTCCTGTGAACCCCTTGAGAGGTACCAGGGGCTTTCTAAGGAATTCAGGTCATTATGGATTTTCTAAGCCATAGGAAACTCCAAGAAGTAAAAGCTCTTCAGGAGGTGTGTTGAAAAGTAACATGGATGGTCAGGCCTTCTTCTGTGAGTATATTAAAATACTGATGGTAAATATAGCACCCAATGGGTGCTGGGAACCCCAGGGACATTGCAGACTTGCAGAGAAAATTTCAGCTTCCTGATGACCTACAGGAATTTTGCCTGCTTCTGGCCTGCCTTTCTGATGTCCTAACTACCAATGACTATTTCTTCTCATGTGCTCTCTTTTCCAAAGTGAGCACGATCCTGTCCCAGCATCTTGCCAAACTCTTGCCAGACTCCTCTGCTGCTGGAAGCATGGAGCAGTGTATACAGCCATCCTCACATGGCTGCAAAGGCAAACCAGGGCTCTCCCTTCCTGCAGACTGAAAGAGGAGTAGGTATGAGCTGCTAGAGGGAACTAAAAACAGAGTCTCTTCTCCAAGTAGACCAGGGATCCTGGGAAGAAAATGCCACATTCTTCATCGGCATGTAAGAGAGTAGGTTGGGAGAACGGGAAGAAGAACAGCTACTAACTAGAAGACAGCACTGGCATGAGAACAAGTAGACAAAAATAGGCTATGAAAAAATGTGGGCTGCAAATGAGAAACAAGTTTCTTTCTGTGAAAGTGAGGTTCTGGAATAACCTGCCAAGAAAATTCCCAATGACTCTTAAGATGGACTGTGATAAATTAACAGGAGAGACTTTATGACTCAGTGCTTGTCACTGCTGGGAAATATGACGACTAGGAGATCCCCTCTAGCCCCACATTCCTATTGGTATGATAACAGAGGAATCTGTGTAGGGTGCAATAAATGCTGAATCACAGAGTGCTTTATCTAGCTGCCTGGCGGGACAAAGTCCTTGATACCCATCCTGTCTTCGAGAACCTCCAGGAAAAAGAAAACCAACACAACAAACCAACCCCCCCCCCCCCAAAAAAAAAAAAACAAAACAAACCAAAACCAGCAAAAAACCAAAACCAAAACCAGCAAAAAACCAAAACCAAAACCAACAAAACACCAAAACCACCAACCTTATGTAAATGATTGTGCTCTGACAGCACAAAGCATACAGCTACCAATGCCTGAGTTAGAAGAAAACCAGCTGAGCTACAGGCTCCTCTACACAGGGGAAGGGTGGTGGTGTGGGTATGAAAGCAAGAAGCCTCACTGTAAACAGAGAGGTACACACTCCAAGGTGAATGTGCTCCAGCAGCTTCAGTACACTATTTCAATGTGGGAAAGAAACTCAGTACTTGGAACCATGTGGTGCTATCCCATGCACTTGCTCAGCCAAGTGTGTGCAGGGATCATGTCCACAGGGCATGACCATGTAATGTAGCGGAAAGTTCCCGCAGTTAACATCAACTGCTAAAACATCCACAGTTCTCCCACTATCCCAGGATACACAATTTTTTAGATGGTGTTTTCTTTCCTGTCTCCTAGGAGTTCCCCAAGGATGAGATCACTTTCTGCAGCACAAGGCCAGCAAGCAGGATGCAGCTTACACTGATGCCTCACAACTGGATATTTACAGCATTGCCACTCTGGCTCTGAGAGCAGACCTTGGGGTAACAGCAGCAGCTGCAGTTTCGGTAGTACATAATTAGAAGTAGAGGCCAAGCAGAAGACGGCCATGAAAAACTGGGTAAGGTAAGAGATAGGCCCCTTTTCTGGGCTCGGGAGAGTAACACTGCTCAGGAGGAGAGCACTTCTCCACAGCCCTCATGGCTTTGGACTTGAGGAAGACTTTTCTGAGGCTTCTTCCAGACTCGTGGAGGTCATACAGATGTGGGTGCTTCCTCACCTTCTCAAAACCTGCAGCACAGGCTACTTGAAGCCATTGGGCCCCTGTCTGCTGCTCCCCACTGCGTTGCAGGAACATACCTGCACAGATGTGGCATCACTGTACAGCCACTGTCTCCATGGCTTGCACAGTCTGGTTACTCAGGGCGAAGGACACCTGAGAGTTTTCCCTCTTGTAGTACTTTCAAACACACATTATTTCTAATAACTGCCCTTGGTATCAAAGCTCAGAGCAAGAGGTTCCCACAGATCCCAGCTTCTAACACCAACACAAGGCAGTGGGGAAACTTCCACACCAACAGTCAGTACTCTTGTCCCAGAGAGCCTGGCTTAATCCCTCTCTGCCATAGCTAACAAAGTTCTTTTTTTTTTTTTTTTTTTTTTTTTTAAACCAGGCCAGGCAGCTCAATCACAATCAGGACCAATGTTGTTATTTCCTAAACAGCGCCAAGCTGACAGGGGAACAGAGGCAGACTGAGCAATGGCAGGTGGTTGTGGCACAAGAGCCTCAAGGCTTCCTGCCTTCCTGGCTCTTGCCAAGCTCCAGCAAGCAGGCACACAGAGACATCTCATACCAGCTGTGACGTGTCCCTTCCTAAACAGCCAAGAGCAAGGAAAGGGCCCAAAACTTAAAACAGGATTTGAGGTGTGGCCTCATCAGTGCCAAACACAGGAAGATGATCACTGCCCTAGTCCTGCTGGCCCGCACTATTTGTGATAGTGGACGCTCTCGGCATCCACATGCCATGCAGTTTTCAGGTGGTGGCTGCTGGACACCACACAGAAAAGCAATTGCCTCAAATTCCAGTGATGAGTTTCCAAATAACCCATAGGTTCAAAGTTCTCCAGAGAGTTTTTTCTGCATTCATTTGTGGATTTTAAGTTAATTTTTATATCAGCCGCTTCCAGGTGGGGTCATGGTTGATCATTTCCTTTGACCTTGCTGCAGTATTTCCCAGCCCCAGAGCAAAGTACTGTTCCAAATATGCTTGGGGGGTGGGAAAAAGTGGTTTTGCCCCATAGTTAATAGGGTCCCTAGAGCATCCCTGTCCCACCCGTTGTCCCAGCGTGGGGATGCCGTGGGATGCACCGCGTGGGGCACTTGGTGTATGCCGGCGTACCCGGTGTGGCACCAGCAGCACCTGCTGCGAGCTCTGCAGAACTGCAGGCGGATGGGAGGCGACGGGGACAGAGCTGCCGAGTCCCACTGCAGGGAGCCCCCGGGTTCCCGGGTTTGCCCCGCACAGTTGGGGGCCCCCCCGGCCAATGCATTTCACAGCGAGGCCAGAGCCGTAAGTGCTCAGACAGCTGTAAAAGAAACCGAAAAAAAATGGTTTCTATTAGCAAAAAGTGACCAAAAAAAAAAAAAGGATTACCTTCTGTCTGGAGTGTTTACATTTTTAGAAGCAAAGAGGGGCTGTGGTAATATTGTTTCTCATAAGACTATTGGATTTGGTGATGTGCCCTTGATGTAAGCTTGGAAAAACGCAGAGACAACAGGGGAGAAAAAAAAGGTGACACTGGTGAAGAGACACAGAGGTGAGGGATTTCACCATTGTAATGGCTAATAGAGAGGGCAGTGCTAACATGCTTTGTTCAGAACTGGGATTGGGATTTCTCTGAAACCTGCCCTTTTAACAAGTCTTTCTCCAGAGGGTTTTTATTGCACTGAGTGTCAGGTCTCAGCATCCTGAACTCCTGTGGAGGCAACAATTTGCTGAAATGCTGTCACAAATATCCCCCAAAAGGCATGCACACTGGATTTACTGTTCTTGGTATTTCTAAGATAAAAATTAAACAGAGCATATTAATTTAAACAAACCTTATTCCAACTACATCATCCATACAAAGACATACAGAAGGACACAAGCCCCAGAAAACAAGGTAAAAAAAGAAAAACCTTTCCATATCCTCCTTTACAACTGTTAGCTTACCTTTCTCTTCAGCTCTGACCTGAGTCTCACCTATAACCATGCACCTGAACTATACAAAATGTAAAGACACCTCCTGGGACATCACCTTTGGACTCGATTTTCTCACTCACATGCTGCAAAAAACGCACCAAAATCCAAAAAGTTCCTGTACAAACCCCACCCAAGGTCCTTGCTTTGCCCAAGAGCAACACGCCCCAGGTGAGTGGCAGCCTGCAACTGCTTCTGCACCCGGCTGGGTGTGATGCCAGTGGGAGGCTCTCTATCAGCAGCCTCGGGGGAAGGAAGGAGTCCTCTCTCTGTACCTATGCTGTGTGCAAGAAGCCATGTGTGTTCGTGCTGCTCCCTGCCAGTGCAAATCACCCAGTTCTCACAGGGAAAGCCCTCTGAGGTGATGAAGTGTGGGCTCTCACAGGCCACCCAGCCCCAGTCTTTCCACTGCCAGCACTAGGAACGACAGAAGTGCCAAGTATCTCTGCCCAGAGCAGCCAGGACAAAAGCACAGCCACCTCCCTGAGTGCTTCCAACCCACTCTCAGCCAAACTCAGTCTGCAGTCATGGCTGATCAGGCTGGAGCTGACACTGCAACCCAGAACGGGGCAAGGTTTATTCCTGATCCCCAGATTCCAGAAAAAGGTACATCCCCCAGAATGACATGCAGCTTTAGCATTGCTGAAAACATGCAGTGTTTCAGGGGTGGGCTCTGGAAGCAGACCTCGCAGCAGGGCCGGTGGCAGCCGTGAAACATCTCCTCAGAGCTGCTGCTGCTGGAGTCAGAGTCTGGGTAGTAGTACAGTGAGCGCAGGGAAGGCTCAGCAGGTCCCCTTGGGGTGCCCTGCCACCGCCACTGCTCCTGCGGGATGCACGATGAAGCACCCTGGGACTCTGGCCGTCCTAGCCACCCCTCTGGCTGAAGGCAGACCTCCCTAGGGATGTCTGGAGAGGATGGTGCTGGGGGGTGAAGGAACCCTCTGCCAGCTCTCTCCCCTTCCCTTTCCAGGGACATGTGTGCTGACTCCCCATGGATCCAGCTGCCCACTTCCTTCACCCTGTGGTTGGCACGAGGGGATACATGTCCAGGGAAGTGGGTGGAGGCAGGGGGCAAAGGGATTCTCCGATGGTGCCTCGCCAGGTAGGGGCTGAGGGGTGTGTGGATGCCTGGGTAGCCGTCCTGGCCCCCCCATGTTTCTCCCTGGTCGCCTGGGGTGCCCCGGCTGCCAAGTGGGGGTCCTGCAGGTAAGGCCGGGCTGTAGTTTTTGCCATCCAGGCTTAGCTCTTGCAAGATTTCCCACAGCTTCTCACTGTTTACATAGCTGACTTTGGGGGATGACTCCCAGGCTACACCACCTGAGTTGTCCTGGCCTGGCAGCTGCTCCGGAGGCTGCCCCTGCTCTGCAGGTGTCCCACACTCCTGGACGTCTTTCAGGCCAAGTTCAGTGCTGCCCCCTGCGTTAAAAAGCAGCACCTGAGAGCAAACAGGCTCGTGGGTTGCGTGTTCCTGAAGGGCCTGAGGATTGCTGCAAAGAGGCGGTGTACGCAGCGAGCAGGGAGGCTGCCACCCATCCCTCTCTGGATCCGGGGGGCAGCGGTCCCCTGGTGCATCCCCATGCCCCCCTGAGCTCCAGGTGCTGGGAGCTGCGGGCAAGGCACGGGGACTGCAGTCGCTCTCCGCAGACATCAGCCTCATCAGCTTCTCCTTGGCGCTGCTCACTTGCTCCTGCAGGCTTTCAATCACGGCGTTTTTCTGTGTCAGACAAATAAGCCTGTCAGGCACGGGGCAGGCAGAGGGTATGAAAGCACTGCCAGCTTGGAAGCTGGCATTGCTAGAAAACAAATCGCCCCTCTCTGCATGGCAAGAGCCACACTGGCAGTCTGTGTGACCTCATCCTCCCCTGAAGGCCTCCAGATGGGAGTGTGGGAAGGGGGTCACTGGGGCAGGCAGCTCTCCAAGCTGGGGTGCTTCCATCTATGCAGTGCAGGTGAGAGAACAGGAGGTTGGGGGCTTTTCTGAAACAGAGCATCTGCCCTCTAAATTAACCAGGTTTGACCAGGCTGTGGCAACCAGGCTCTCCTGCACTTCTCCCTACAGATCTTTTTTTTAGGCCCTCCAGATTATGCCTAAATTTTGGTGCTTTGGAGTGCAGAGTGATGTGACAAAACAAAGCAGCTCTTCCCATCAGGAAGGAAGAGACTGGTGAGGGATCACCAGTGTGGACAGGGGTGTAAAAAAGGGCTTCCCACCCTGCAAAGCCTTCAGCCCACAAAAGGTAAGGAGAGAAGCTGGTGTGGTTGAGGGGGCCTGGCAGAGCCCTGTACCTCGGTGAGCAGCCGCTTCATGGAGTTCTTCTCCCCTATCAGCTGGTAGAGCTGCTCCTCGCTGTACATGGAGCGGCAGCTCCTGCTTGGGCTGGTGAAATATTTTGCCATGTGGCTCACAGTTTGGCTTTCTTCTTCAAAGGCTTTCCACTGCTTGAGCTAGGGAGTAGAAGAGGGTGTTATCTGCAGAGCCCCTGCCAACACAGCGGGAGGCAGGCACAGCTCAAGCGCGAAGGAGACAAAGGGACTTGACAGGGGGAGACAAAGGCAGGGTGTGACAGGAGAGCAGAGACCAGTGGCAAGAGATGGCTGGGCGAGGGGCTGTAGTGTTACTTGGAGCCTCCCACCCATCTGAGCCCTACCCTGTGTCTGGCTCCAGCTTTTAATGCAGAGGAGTCAGTGCCTGTCTGCACTGAAACCTCTAAGCACGCTGTAAAAGCCCCCTCCCTCTTCTCCCCCCTCCTGACTCTGTGACAGACAAAGACAGTGTCACGCATGCCCCCTTATCCCTGAATCACTGGTGACAGGCTGAAAACCAGTAATGCTTAGTACCTATTTTCTCATCTAGTGTCTGCATGGAAGCCTTGTGCAGCCCAGCTCCAGCTGCTTATTGATCTCAGATGAGCAATAGAAAAGCAAGCCCATTAGGAAAAACAAGGTAATGAATTAAAAGATCCAAGTTAAATAAAATGTTCAAGGGCCCCAGGCTCCCACAGAAAAATGGTACAGGCAGAGTGCAAGTACAGTTCATCAGCTCCTCTGCCCTCAGTCTGAGAGACCCGGCACTTGGCAAAGCATCGCCAGCAGGTTTGGTGCTTGTCAGAGGGAGACTGGATCCTTGCTCCCAAAGGCTGCTCATCTAAGGGGCTGGGACTCTGCAGTTACACTGCCTCAACTGAGGTAGGAAGGGACCTCTGGAAATCATCTAGTCCAAACACCCTGCTCAAGCAAGGTCAGATGGAGCAACCTGCCTAGGACTGTGTCCAGCTAGGCCTCGATTATCTCCAAGTATGGACCTCTCTAGGCAACGTGCTTCAGTGCTTTACGACTTTCACAGAAAAAAACAACCTTTTTCTTATGTTTAAATAGAATTTCCTGTGTTTTATTTTGTGCCCATTGTCCCCTGTCCTGTCAGTGGACACCACTGAGAAGAGCCTGACTCTCCCTTCCCTACTCTACCCCCACTGGTATTTATATACATTACTGAGATCCCCTGAGCCCTCCCTCGCACAGATGTGTTCTTTCTTCAGCTTCACCTCTTCCTCCCTTTCTCACCTCATGTCCTTGAGCCCAAACATCCCTTCAGACATTCAACTGAGTAAACAACTGTTTCCTCTCCCTGTAACAATGGGAGCATTATTCCCAATAACATGGTGGCCAGGCACACTAGGCTGCTCCTGGAGGACACGGGAAGCAGAAGAGCCTCACCTCACCCCAAAAGGCTTCCTCACTCATGGCAAAGCCCACCTTCCTTCTCTAAAAGCATAAAGGAGGACAGCCTCCCCTGGGGATCACCAGCAGCAGAAAAGTCTCTGAGCCTGGCAAGGCCATCTGGATGGCCTGAGCCCAGCTCCATCCCTGCCATGGGCAGAAACTTTCTGTGGGAGTGGGCATGTGAGGTACGAAGAGAGGACAAGCGCATGAAGAACAGATCCCACCACCCACATTGGAGGACGACACCAGCGACTCCCTCGCCTCCACCTGTGCTCTCTGCGTGGCTACCACTTGTGGCATATTCCTGCAGGAAGGTTCTGAGCAGCAGCTCTTCAACACACCTGAGCTCCTTGGAAACCTTCCAGGACTTAAAGGGGGCCTACAAGAAAGCTGGAGATGGACTTTTTACAAGGACACATAGGGATAGGACAAGGGAGAATGCCTTTAAACTGTAAGAGGATAGGTTTAAATTAGATAAAAGGGAGAAATTCTCCACTATGAGAGTGGTGACATACTGGAACAGGTTGTCCAAGGAAGTTGTGGATCTCCCATCCATGGAAGTGTTCAAGGCCAGGTTTTGAGTAATGTGGTCTAGTGGAAGGTTCCCTGCCCATAACAGGGGTGTTGTAGCTACATGATCTTTAAGGCCCTTTCCAGCACAAACCATTCTGTGATTCTATGATACTCCAGGAATTTGCTTGGGGAAGCAGAGCCACGGGGGGGGCTTGGAAGATGAGCTGTGCAGGTGAGCCCAAACATTTGGGGAAAAAAGCAGGAAAGTAAGTGCTTTGGCCCATAAGGCTGCTGTTGTTAAACTCTGAAAATGTGCCCGTTTCCAGCCAAGTGACGGGATAGAGGTGGAAGATACCTGTGGGACAAAGATGAAGCAGTTGATCGTGGTTGTACACACAAAAATTCCTCCAGAGGTAAAACCAAACAGCAAGTTGTGCCAAGTACGGAAGAAACGATGAACTAAGCAGATAGTGCCAGCAGCCAGGAAAACGAGGTTGACCCCAACGATGAGTGTCAAGGACTGGTTGACTGGTGAGGAGCTGACACTGTCGGTCAGACCGGCCAAGTAGGTCCCATACAGCAGGAGAATACTCTGGAAGCAGAAAAAAGAGGTTTCCAGAGTGTGGAAAATTACAGCCTGATGGTGTCAACCCCCACTTCAAACCAAGCCCGGTGAGCTCAGATACACTCAGTGCAATCCTAATTAATGCTCTTTGATCTATAATGCAGACCTTGAGTGCGCGCTGGTGACGCCGCAGCGAACGCCCGGCACGCTGCTGCGGGCCAGAAGTGGGGCTGGGGAGAGAGGGCAGGAGGGAAGGTGCCAGTGGGCACCGGGAGTCCCAACCAAGCTGTGTGAGATGAGGATCAGGTCAGCAGGTGATGCCACGGAGCAGGGGATGGCCAGGAGAGATAAGACACAAAACCCGCCCCTTGGGCAGCCTGGAGCAGGAGAAGCAAAGATAGACAGACAGACAGACAAACAGGAGACAGAGGTCCCTGCAGGGATGCAGCAGTGGGGTGCCGTCTAGGAGCAATGACATACCTCTGAAGGAGCAGGAAGGATGTTCAGAAGGACATTCAGAAGAAAAAGGCAAGAAGAAATGGAGGTTTAGACTGGAGGAAAGAGGATGTACTTGTTGCCTCTTTAAATAGCAATCCAGGAAACTACCAGGTGCAATTCTTCTCCCTTCCCTTTGCTGTTTCCTGACTCCAGCAGAAGGGAAAGGCACTAGAGAAGTGCTCTGTACACAGAGGAACTGACACCCCCCCCCAGCAGATCAGTTGTTTCAGAACAGGCTGCCTCACCACACTGGCCCTCAAGTGTCCCCTGAATGTATCTTTCCAAGATAGTTTAATCTTTTTCAAGATTAAACTATCCAGCAGGATGAACCCTTCCTTCTCCAGGGGACACTAGCAGGAAACACCAAGTATCTTTTGCCCACCTCCACAGTGCAGGGTATGGTCTGCCTTCAGGATCATTTGGAAATAGCATCTAACAAAATCCCAAGCACCTGCAACAGCCCGGAATACAGAGAATATGATTTAAATTATTCCTGTGCTACCTAGTAAGTGTAACCGTGTCTGCCTTAGTTTACTAAGAGTCATTGTTACTTGGGCATCAAGAAGTGCTTTGCGATCTGAGTGCAGATGTTTTTTAGACTCTTCAGGACCCCTCTGTGCTGTGGCTGCTTGATGATCGTGATGACCACTGCCAGGGTTAAGGTCTGGAGGGACACGGGCAAGAGAGGTTCATGTCCACAGTCTTTGGTGAGACTTGCAACTTCAGAGCACCACAAATTCTCAAGGCGGGGTTGTAATAGTGAGACCTGCCTCACTGGGAACTAGGCCGACACCTGACTCTGCTTTGTAGAATGTGAATTGGATCATAACCATGTCCAGCATGGGGCACCTCCAAATGGCCCAAAGGCAAGTCAGCTTCTAATCCCTGAGCAAGAAAATAATCAGCACCAAAGTCCCATTTAAATTCATACAGTCTATCTGGGACACAGACAACAGCACTGCCGTCTAGTAAACTAGGACTTTCAGTAAGCACAGGACTAAGTGGTTTGTTTGTTTATTTTAATCTTGAGCAGGGAATTTTGCTCCTAATTCCAGGCATGTCCTTGGCAAATCATTTCTGTTCATTGCTCTGTTCCAGTAAAACCAGGATAATACACTGAGTGGCTTCCCAAAGGGCTGAGCACATTAATGCTGTGGATGCTAAGAAGTGCTATGTACGCACAGAAATAAAGCCTACTCTCACATTAGTGTAAATCCAAACTAACTCCAGAGAAAGTACTAAGGAAATAACTCCACAACCCCCAGCAGGCAGAAGGGGACAGGGTCAGATACAACACAACACTAAAAAATATTACTTGGGACTGATAGTGGGAATGTTTTATTTCAGAAAGCATTTTGTAGGAGCTGTAGGCAAAGACATTACCTGTCTAAACCCTAACAAAAACTGCAGACAAAATCAGAGGTGGAGACAGAGCACTGAAAACCCAGAGAATACCTACATTCAATACCAAAGGACTTCTAAGGACAGGCTACACTAATGTCTTTGAAATGAAGTGTAGAGAGGAGGACTTGGCTGTGTTGTAAGGTCCCTTTCTACTCTTTTTCCTACAATTTTGGGTAGATGGTCAGTGAGTATTACATTACAGTGAATCACAAAGGAACTGCCGGTACTGCACAGAGATGAAGCCATTACTGCAGAAAGGCTGTGATCTCACAAGCTTCATCAACATCAGCTTTCTGAAATGTGTCCAGCTTCTGCCATACCAGAGACACATGAGACCACAGATAATTACAGCAGTAATTACACCTACATAGTTACATCGGTATAACTAACACTTCTGGAATAAGAATGGCCATGTGCAGAGCTCCACCAGTGAAAGTGCACCCTGGTGGTATAATTAAGCCGATAAACATCCTGTAAAGGCAGGGAGCAAACACTTGTCATCGGCACCTCCTTGGTTTGGAGTCAGAGGACTCCGGGACTGAGCCACATGGTGCACCACTGCACTGGACGGCCTTCTGAGGCTTTATGGAAAGAGTGCGCTTTAGAGAACAGCAAGACATGAGTTTTCAGAAGTGAGATAGATGAGGCACAGGGGGTTGCAGGGAGAGAAATAAAGAGACTGTATGTGCACTGTGTACAAAACAGAGATAGTGAGGCAGGGAAAAAGTGGCTTACAGGGCTTTTATGCTTTCTAAGATGGGACGGACTGGAAATAGGAGGGCTTTTGAGATGAACAGGAGTAGCTGGAATCTGCAATAGGCCTGTAGCTTGGGAGGGCAGCGAAACAACGAATGCTGCTAAACAGTTTACATTGTAAGACAGAGAGTTATAATTCAAGAATCGATCAAGAGGTTACATACCTTAAACCCTAAAATGAGAACGAGCCAAAGATCAGAATAGAGCGATGCACAGGACTGCACCCGGCTCATGGAGCAGGTCATGCCTTTCTCTGTCGCCTAGAAAGCAAGGGAAAGACTGAAGTGAAGGCTGCAGCCTGGGCACAGACTGAGAGGCAGACACATCTAAGCTGGTCTTCTCTGCAAATGTCTAAAAGGATAGGCCAAAGCTGGTGCTACCAGGGGCAGAAGGTTAAAGCAAGGAAGATTTTGGCATTCTGCTGCCAACAGGGCTGGTTAAACATTTCTCTAAAGCATATGCAGGTGCCATGGACCCCTCCCTGTGTCACCCATGTGATCTGCACAGACCTGGAAATTTTGCAGTGGACCCTCACCTCTGTAACAGACTGAACAAAAACCCAACCCAGAGTGACCAGAAGTTTTTCTGACTTGTTTTTCTTTCTATTGTTTTTCAAACAGCACCTTCAAATGCCTGGTCATCCACCAACTTTGTCCACAGAGTTCAGGTAGAACATGGCAAAACCCTCCACCACCCCTCCTCATCCCCTTACCCGCAGTGAGACACCGAGGCTTCGGAAGCACTGGACTGGATCGGCAAATACCCACGTCAAGAGCAACACAGCATCTGCCAGCACCAATGCTGCCACCATTGCCAGCAACTGGAGGTCTTTGATAATCTGCAAACACACAAGAAGTAAAAGGTACTCTGGGGAGCAAATGGACACCAATGACCTCCATCCCCTTGGGTCCCTTTCTAGTTGTTTCTTTCAAGCAACATGTCTATCCTACTACTTCCCCCAGAGGGGAATCCAGTGGCTCACCTACATCAGAGTTGGCCACAGGATCTCTGTCTCCAGCTCCCAAACTCTTGGAGATCTAATCAGGCTCGGGGCCAAGCATAAACCCTCCCTGATGGTGTGGATAGCAGGTACATGCTGTGACAGAAAACAGTTCCTCCAAAACAAGACTATGTCCATATCACCAGCAGAGACAGAAAGGGTGGGGAAAAAAAGCTGGTAGTATTATGATTTTGAAAGTTTAACACAGATCCTGGTGCGTTAGGAATGGGACTCCTTGCTGGTACCCAGTTCCCCTGCAAACTGTCTCATCTCACCTTTCATCTGAGACCTACTTTTTCACCACTGGAAAGTGGCCACTGAAGGCTCTAAGTTACATGCACTGTTACGTGAACAAATTTCCCATTTCCCTCCCAGCTGCTGATTCCCCTTCTTTAAGTGCTGCAGAGGAGTGCCTAGTGCTCCCTCCCTCCCTTCAAGAGATGAGATGCATCTGGGGATGGCCCTACATGAGATGCTTTTGAGGATACCTGGTTTATATTCATCCCACAAAAACAATCAGCCCAGCCCAGGACACAAATACTGGCATGTAGTTTAATGAAGGCATGGGGCTGATGTAAAACAAGACCAAGACCTTGCTCAGTGATGGGGCTGTGACTCCACAGGGGAACAGGCAGCCTGGCAGGGCACCCGCTTACCTGTGGAGTGGAAAAGCTCTTGCCTCATTGCTCAGGAATAAATGAGGGGCCCATGCACAGCTAGGCATGAAACTAGACCTGTGATTGTAGCATCCATCCCTGTCCTGTGCCAGTTTTTATCTGCTGTTCCACACTGGTTTTTGCTGGTGTTTGCCCTCCTTGGGAAGTTCTCCTCCCTCCCTTCCCTCCTCGGGTGCTGTGTACTCACCACCCGCTTGTCCGGCACCCTTTGGGTGAACACCTTGTAGAGCCGCCAGCTTTTCCCCAGGACGGGGCCAAACACCAGGGAGGTGCCCACGCACAGCAGGCAGAGCCGCACCTGCCAGGGGGTCAGAGCAAGGAGGCTGAAAGTGGGGCTCGCAGGGACACCCCACACTGTCCCACCCAGGGACGCAATAAAGATGGGTAGGGACATGTCTATTGTCTTCTGGCTTCTGGAAAGTCATATCAGACATCAGAAAGCTGACCACAGAGTGAAATAAATTAAAAGGCACATACTCCTCTGCAGGCATGTCTGCTGCCTGCCTTTTCCTCCCCATCCCGAGAGACTTTCATCAGAGGACCAGGCAGGGAGAGCCAGGCAGCTTGTGAGCAGCAGGGGCACGGTAGGTCCCAGCACCAATAAATCACTTGCTGGCACCTCCGTTAATTATCCTCAGCCCAGCGGCTGAGCAGGATGCAGGGTGTGCATTCTCCCACGTCCCACTCTCCCATATGGATGCACGCCCAGCCCTCGGTCTGGCAGGGTGGCTGCCTCAGGTCAGGACGTGGGGGTTCATCACACAGGTGAGTGTTTTGATGAGGATCTGCTCTGCAGCCAAAAAACTCACCTGCAGCCTCACAGCACCTGTGCTACTTTAGGCAGTGGTGGCTCTGTGGAGGATCCCATCTCCCTTCAGGCTCCCCTCTCCCTACTGCACTTCTACAAGCCCAGCAGCCTGCCTGCCTGTGGGACCTCTCTCTCCCCCGGGGACCTGCTTTGAGTCCCTTCCTCGGTGCAGATGTGGTTTGCACAAACAGTGAAGGCTGTTCAGACAGAAAGCATCTGGTTGCGTTTTGTGTATGTGAAAACCACAGCCTGGCCGCGTGCAGCCAGCAGCGAGGTGGTGACAGGCTGTGGCTAAGAGAGCGCACGTACAAACAGGCATGTACATGTGCATGCATGACGGTACCCATCCCAGCAAACCCCCCACTCACCTGAATAAGCTTTTCCATGGAGTCTCCAGAAGGCAGGCTCTGCTCCTGAACCCCAAAGAGGTAAGCACTCGTGTAAGTCAAGCCACTGCCCAGCAGGGTCACAATGTTGAGATTGGGGCTGGACATCTTCACGATCCTCCAGGAAACAAAGCAGGGAAGGTGGTGACAGTTACTGAGCATCATGACCTGGCAGCACAAGGGCAAAGTCCCCTTATAGGGGCCACGATGGCCATAAGGGATGCTGACACATTGTCCAGCCCCCAGCCTCTGACGTTCACAGCTGCTCAAAAAGCTCAGCCATTGCTCCATAGTGCATAACCCATCTTCTCTGCCGTCTTGCTGGAATGCCTCACTGTGCTTAAAGTACTCATTTCACTCTACCCCAACACTTCTGCTGTAGAGGGGCAGAAGTGGAAAACCACACCAGCGCACCACGTGGTGACTGTCCCCAGCTTTGGGTGCAACAGCTACAAGCACCTTCAAGAACAGGCTCTTCCCACTGCTCCTTCCTCTGAGGAGATATTTTCACACAGCACAGTCTCAACTTCAGGAAGCTGCCTGCAATGTTCAGCTTACAGCCTCCCCTCTGTAATTTCACCCCATCACTCATAATCCTGTAATTGTATTCAGGGAGGGGAGAATCAACCCACCGATCTCTCATGACCTGTCACCCTTCCCCAGCAAGCCCATCAAGCAAAAGCTGTAGCTCCTGCCATCCCCCTGCATAGCTCTGCCCCTTCAATCTGCTGCCAAGTCATTGCATTTCTCTACCCTTGAGCTCCTTCCTGGCTTGCTGCCTCGCAAGGGATTCAACCTGGCCCTTTCCCTCCCTGACTTCCTTGCCATGCCTCAGCCCCTGGGGAAAGATATTCATCAGCTCACTCTCTCAGCTGCATGCTGAAAAAGGTCTCCTTTGCCCTCCCAGGTTCAGTAGGCAGACCAGTATTTATTTACTGCAGAGCAAATAAATAACGCCCATTCATTACAGCATGCTCTGAGAATATCTTCAGGGGCCTAAATAATTTGGTAATCAATTAAGGTGGCCACACTACTCAGTAAATTAAGTGCTTCAGATTGGGATGCAGGTCATGCAGATGCTGCAATGCAGCAGGCACAGGGCTCACAACACAAACCCTTATGGGGCAGGACCCTCCTGACTGCATAGTGCTTGTCGAAAGCATTAAGTTCCTTAATGCAATCAGAGAATCAGTTCAGGCTGCACACAGATGCACGTCTCTGTGCAAAACAATGGCACATAGAGACCAACAGGTTTGCCAGGTGAAGCCTGGGAGAGGGATGTATCTCTGGAGGAAAAAGCAGTTGAGAGACTAAGAGGCCAATGAAGCTGAGGAGAAAGTGGCAAGGAAGCAGGCAAGACACTCAGAATTGCTGAGGAAGGGTCAGTGCTGGCTGAGACAGTTTGAATTACAAGGAATTGTTGAGCCTTATGCTTGGATTTATGCTGTCTTCAGGGGAGCAGGAAATTTTACATCCTCTGTGCAGACTGAACAGCACCAAGGAAAGTCTGCACTTTACAACCAGCTTCTCTCACCAATGAAGATCATGTTCCACACCAATATGGGCAACCACCAAGATCAAAAAGGGGTAGCAGTATCTTCAAAGTATGAGTGGCCCAACAGCAGGAAGTGCACTGTGGGGGAGCATGATGGGTTTGCCATGGAGCTATGCTGCTCAGAGTAATGCTCCCAAGACTGGGAGCAGAAAAGGAGATTTGTTCCCTTTCTGCTCACTCCTTTTGATGTTTTTATTGAATGGTACCTTTGGGATGAGACTATGCACTACTGTCTGTGCCACGCCAGAGGGCATCCATAGAATCATAGAATCATTAAGGTTGGAAAAGACCTCCAAGGTGATCAAGACCAACCTTTGACCAAACACCACCATGTGAATTAAACCATGGCACCAAGTGCCGTGTCCAGTCGTTTCTTGAACACTTCCAGGGATGGTAACTCCACTACTTTGCTGGGCAGAGCATTCCAATGCTTGACAACCTTTCAGTGAAAAAATTCTTCCTGATGTCCAACCTGAATCTCCCCTGACGCAGCTTGAGGCCATTTCATCTTGTCCTGTCTACAGCTCCCTGCCTTGGAGAGGAAGGGAGCAGTCCAAACAGGACTGTCTCCATCAGTGATCAATACTGGATGTGATGGAGAAAGCTGCAACAACCCTGGCATTGGCCTTGCTTGCCCCGTGGTGTTCCTTCAGGCTCATACCTTCCTGACACTTAGCTGGTCATCAGCTCAAAGCCTGGTCCTGAAGGAGCCTCATTCCGCTGCTCCAGCTCAGGGGAATTGTCACAGCAGAAGAGGGAAGCCCTTACCTGTTTTTCCTGAAGCGAATTGTGAAGACGAGAAAGAAGAGCGCTAGCAGGACTCCTCCAGTCAGGAATGTCCACACAACTCCCAGGAGACCAGCAGAGAAGGATGGGAAGCTCTTCCCACTGTGGTCAAAAGATGTCTGCAGGAGGCAAAAGGGGTGAGGAAGAAGGGGACATTGCTGGGGCTTCCAGTGAAGGAGGTCCCTACTGTAGCATGATCACACCCATGGGTGCTCCTCCTCAGCCATAAACCACATCTCCTCATAAGCAGACACCCCGGCACCTGACCAAGACCCGCAGGCAGGGCTGGTGAGATGTGTGTAGACAGGACACGTACTCTGCCACTTGCTGAGTGCACAGGAGGAGAGGGCAGTCCAGGAGCCCTCTTCTTATGGCCAACTAGCCAAATACGTAATGAAGCCATACAAGTGACTCACAAACCTCAGGCAGCCCTGGCTGTAGGAGAGAAGAACATGGGCAATGGTTCCCCACTGTCCTTCTCTGGAAAGAAACCTCTGCAGAGAGGTCTCATGGTACCCCAGCTCATAGCACTCTTCTTTGGAAAGTCAGGTAGGGCATCCTTGGCTCCCACCCTTACCCCTCCATGCAGCAGACAACTGACCAGCTGGCTGACGTGACTGGGAGCCAGCAGCAGAGCTGCCAGTCAGTGCAGAAAACGCAGAGAAGGGAGTGTGACAGCGTTTTTCAGAGGCGTTCCGCAGTGACACACCGAGCTGGGCTCCACCCGTCTCCAGCGGCTGGAAACTAACTGGGTCCCAGGCAGACATCAGCTGAGAACTGGCTTTTGAGGGACACTCCCAGAGCGGGTATGACAGAGGCACCTGTCTCCTTGCACATAAGCAACCTTGTGGGTTTAAACCTCAATTTAAAAATATTCTCTGCAATCTTCCTATTAACGTAAGATGGACAAAATGATCCTATGTGAAACAAGAAACTATTTCCACTGTGGATCTAAAATGTTCCAGTATTTTTAACAGGGTGTGCATGCGTGGGTTCGTTCACACATACTACGGGTGTGTTACTGACTTTTTTTTTCTTTAAAAAAAGTATCACTTTTACTAAGGTAAAAGTGGAAGGGAGGAGAATGGGGTGTGAGCTGGGATAACGTGCCTCCTCACTAACTTCTCTGGCGCTGTCCTTTCTCAGACATGCCCATTGACCTGCATGCAATTTCTGTGGCAGAAGACCACTCTCCCTGACAGTTGCCACTGCCCCAAACTCCCAATTCTTTCTTCAAGGCCTGAGTTGTTTCTGCTTCCAGCCTTGCTAGAAATAAATCTTCAGGGAGAAGTAAGGCAGATGTTTAGAGCCAATGCCTCATCTCCCTCTTCCCCAGCCAGGCTTTATCTCCTCTGGACAAGCAAGAACAAGGCACAACTTGGAGAATTAAAGCCAACACATAATTCTTAAAACAAAAACGCATCACTGCCACACGAGCACAGCTGATCCATGGGCTCCTGGCAGCTCACATGCTGGTGCCATGCTGGTTGCAGGGCAACTGTGTAAAGCAAACCCCTGGCTGGGAGAGACATCCAGCCGAGAGTCAATGCTGCTGCTGCTGCTGTATGCTGGGATACAGCTGCATGCACACCTCAGCCTCGCTTTGCAACAGTGTGGAGGGATCCCTGAGGGGATACTCATATCCCTCTTGCAAACTGCTTCCCACCTCCTCTTCTCTCTCTCTATCCCCTGGGGAGTCTTTTGGCTCTCTGGGAAACCAGATGGTGGAGATGGTCAGCCACCCAGGGATTGGAAACACCCATATGATCTCCACCTTTCATTTCCCAAGGAACACACACCCTCCCACCTGACTGCTGTTTCCTTGGATGTTGATGCTACTTGAAGTTGATGGAGCGCTTTGTTTGCCGCTGAGAGGAGTAAATCCTGGTCCTAGCAGGGGGAATATTAATTGTACAGCAGCTGCCAGAGCCAGAGGAGCCAAGCAGCTTAGTCTTCTAATTAAAGGCTCATGGTCGTGCAGGACGTGATGGAGAGTCGAGCGGGCCAAGCCTCACTGGCCCATCCAGCAGCCTCACACGGTGCCAACTGCAACGGAGTGCATCCCAGTGTCATTTCCACTGGCTTACTGGTGTGTGGGGGGGTACCACTTATTATAGATAATGACTTTTAATTAAATCATGCCCTATTCATATTTGAAAAGCACTTTGAAGTTGCAGAGGACAGGAAAGGTCAAGGGCCAATGGGGCCATTTCAGGCCAATCCTAAGCAGCTGTCACACTGGCCGACACACGGGGGGTTGCTTGACATGAGTTGGCTGTCGTGGATGCTTCCTCACTATCTGGTAACTGCTAGGTGTCACCTAGACTAGGCTTGTCTTAGAGGCCAACCAGCACGCTGCCTTTGGCTGGACTGGGATTACTTGTCAGCTGCACCCCCCTTTCCATCCCTCCACCCAAATCCACTTCAGCAGAGCAAACCTCATGCCCCAGAGCACTTCCCTGCCTCCGTACATACCACTGTTACGGTGCAGAGCTCCTGCAGTGCCCGCTGCTGCTGGCTGTCAAAACTGGAGCTGCCATCGCAGAGCTCAGAGCAGTTGAATCCCGGCTCCATAGCACATCCTCAGCCGTTATCCAGCCGTACCTTAGCCCCTACTGGAAGGACAAGCGTTGGCTTTTTCCAGAGAGAAGAAACCTCCAGCATACACCGTATCTCCTCCTGTCAGCAGGGTGTAGTGAGGGGGTCTGGCAGGCCAGGGCTGAGCTCGCCCAAACTGGTGTGGTGCACATCCAGGGCCAGGACAGGGAGTGCCCACCTCCCAGTGTCCCTTGAGGTGTCCTCTGCAGCGAAGTGAGTCAGCATGGAACTTGGGTTCCCACGGAGCACGGTGGCATCCCGAGCACTGTTATACCAGCCTGCAAAACAACACATGTTGAGGTCAGAGCGGCCCCCAGCCCCTACACTCCAGCTGTGGAGCTGAAACCAGGTGCTGTGCTGGTCCGAGCCAGGGTGTGGCACCCCAAACTCGCTGCAGTTTTCTTCTGCCAACGCATTTTCCCACACCAGTGCAATTTCCAGGGTGCATTTTTGCAGATACCCTCCTTGTGCTGGCAGCCTGCCAGTTTCCTGGCATGTCCCCTTCTTCCAGCAAGGAACCAGAGAGTGTAGACAACAACAAACAGTAACAAGTGTCGTCATTGCTTAATAGGATCTACACCCAGGCCTGGGCAAGCAGCAGGGGAAGGCACTTGAACCAAAGCATTTTGGCTGACTCGGCCTGAGTGGCAGCCCAGCTAGCTGAAGAGCTGGCTGTTCATTAAGGAGATTTAGAAGCCTGACACCTCCATGTTCCCCATCCCTCCTCGTGCTCTGGCTGCCAGGTATTGTCCCCACCTGCTCCTGCTCCCTTCGCACCACCTCTGCCTCTGTTCCCCTTTTCATTTCTCTTTTTGGTGTGGATTTTAATAGGCCTCATTACCATTTTAGACATGAGGTCATACTTGTCCTCAAGCATCCTTACTCAATTACCATTGTCACCAGTTTTAATTAGCTTCCAGCGCACGACCATAAGCAAGTCTCCTGTCGTTAGCAGTTGGGGAGGAAGCACAATAGCTCACTTCCTACTTGCTCCTCACAACAGGTGGGAGGAAAAAAATTATCCTTATCATGCTCCTCAGGGCTGCTCCCTGGCCAAGCATGCCATGTGCCTGGCTAGTGCTCCATCCTTCCCTCTTCCTAATCCTGACACTTTGATTCCCTCTCCTCATAAGTCCTTTCTTTGCAAAAACTCCTGTCATCATGTGAGCAAAGAAAGAGTAAACTAAAAAGAAGCACAGTCACCAGGACCTGGTCTGAAACTTGGTGTTCGTCATGGGGGATAATCAGGATTCAAACACCAGAAAAGCTACAGGAACTGTTCTCAGGTCAAGCGTAGACTGATTTTTCAGCTTTAGAGAAGTTACAAGTCCCAGCCCAAACACATCAAGGTCAGCAGGCTACTTGACCCAAATTAGCAGAGCCCCCTCTGAAGCAACAATCCCAACTTTCCCACTGGCAGAAGCCTTGATGTACCACAGGTCCGGACACAGTCCTGCCTGTCCCAGAACTGACCCCAGTGTGAGATCAGCTTGCTGTGTCCTACAAACACAATATCACATGAGCCAGACTTATGACTCTACACACGTGGTAGAGACGTTTTTCAAGAGCGCTGATACAACCCCGTTCCATCAAACCTGCCTCTCTAGCTTGTAGCAAACTGCGGTGGTGTTTCCCCTACAGCAGGATCACTCTGGGGGGGTTTTCATGCCCTCCACGGCTCAGGCTGAGTGATCGGACAAGGGGTATGGCTGCAGAAGATATCCAGCTGCTGGAGTGGATGCCAGGATTGCAACAGTGGTAAAGGGCAGTGGAGAGAAGGAGACAGGCTCCAGCTGAACAGTTCAAAGAGAACAATGGATAGTGTGGAGGGGCTGCGTGCTGTGCCTGGGGATGGCAGCAGGAGAGGGGCACTGAACCTTTGCCAAGAAGACCTGAAGATGAGCACTGCCCAGCCTCCAAAGGGCTCAACTTCTCCCCATGCCCTCAAGTGGGTTTAAAGACAGCCCCTACAATTCCTTGTAACTTTCTGCCATATGAGAGAGGGAACCCACCAGGTGGACCACTACCAAGGCTGGCATGAGGCCAGCAGGCACAACCCTCCCATGGCTCACAAATGGACATGTTTCCACAAGGAGCATCAATTCAACCCTCATCCACCCAGGAGACCATCCCTCAGTGGAGGGTAAAAGCCCTTTAGAGTCTTCCCAACCCCCACCCCACCATTCTGCAAAAGGCTCCCACACAATGTTGATAACAAGCCGAGGCCAATTAAGATTCATTAGTATGCAACAAAGCAAGCACTAGTGTGGTTGTTGCTGGAAGGCAACAGGCATTTCCAGCCCAGCTCCTGCCTCTCGTGAGAGCTGGCAGGAATGCTCTCCATGGCCGTGAGAGGATCCAAGGGGGACCGGTGCGGAGTCACTGACCTTCACGGTGAGGTTGGACAACGGTTGTGGGGACAGACAACAACACAGGTAAAAACTTACTTCCTTAAAATGTGAGGGTCTCTTTAGGGCAGAGACCTATGGGTTTTGTTTTTTGGGGTTTTTTTTTTAGACCAAAGTGCCAACCAATTCTGATGGATCACTTCCACAGCACAATCAGAGAATGGTTTGAGTTGGGAGGGATCTGACAGCTCTGTGCCCCCTTCTGCCCTCAGTCTCTGTGGCATGACAGCTGCTGGCTGTCTGGATCATAGTGGCTAGTACCTGATCACAGCTGAGCATCAGCATGTGTGTGGATGTGATCCAACAAGCCTCAAGTCGGTAGGAAACAAGTGACTAGACCACATGAAAAATATCACCATCATCTTCTAGAATAAAAAGGAACCCTTGACTGTTAAAACCAGTATTTGGATAAAAGCAATTTGCAGTCATCTTAATGGTTGATCTTCTGGCAGACAACAGAACAAATGCATTCAGAAATGTGCATGAAATGGTTTTCATGAGCTCTGCAATCCTGTCCAGTCATATCAGCCCCGACAGAGAAATGGTACATGTACACCTCTGCAAGGGAAGAGCGGAGCACATCTGGAGAAGCATATCTATTGAGGAGAACTTCTTGGGCAGGTGGCTCTGTAGCCAGCTGGAACCCACAACTTTGCTGTGTGCCAAAGGCAGAGAAGAACAACCAGGGGGAGGGAGCGATGTGCAGAGGGGAAAGCCATTCCTGCCACCTCAGGTGGGGAGCAGAAGATCTTGGCTTACCCTTGACGGGTCTGTGCTGCTACTGCCACTACTAGTGGGAGATGGTGATCTGCTGGTGGGGACAAGCCCCGGCTAGACAGGACACAAGGCTACACACTTACAGTGACAAGTCATCCGGATAACTGTTCCAGCGAGATAAACACCACGGGATGGGGTTTTGCAATTCAGAAAACACTGGCACTTCTGAGATAGGCTCCTGCTTTTCCCTTCTGCACTTCTTGTCCAACAAGATCCCTTCTTGTTTGACCTGAGAAACCTGCAATATTGCCAACCCCAAGGCGATCAAAAAAGTCACAAGCTAGACTTAGTGCAACACCTCCCGCAACGAAGCTAGTTAAAAATCGGGAGTTAAAGCACACAGCATATCTAAAGATTATTTTTAATTTATATTTAAAATTTCAGCATTTACATTTTCACACTTTCCCCTGCAAACACAAAAGGAAAAAGGAAGAAAACCAAGAAATCCTGCTTATCGTGTCATCCTAAAATGTGGGTTACAAAGCCTCAATCCCCAGGAACACTGGGGAGTTGCAAAGTTGTTACCCTTATTCTCAGGGACCATCCTGTGCACTTGCAGCACCCTGCTTTTATCCCTGGGATTTCCAGAGCCACCTCCAGGCCTCTCAGATACCTTCATACCTGGCAGATGGACAGCTAGCTCGCTGCACAGGCACATGATGGGGCACATCACAGGGCCCAAATGGGGTCATCTTCCCACCCAGGCAGTGTCCCTGCCTATGCTGTCACTCCTTGACCCACACCCAGGGTATGGGAGATAACCACCAGGACCTGCTGCATGCAAAGGAGGGAGATGCAGGACAAGGTGCTTCTGCCTCCAGATGCATGAGGAGCTCACTGTGTGACTCTGAAACACGAAAGTTTGTGCTGACTGAAGCTAGCTGTGATTTTGAAGTCTCCTACCATTTTGGATAGCACATCCTAAGATCACAAAGGCAATAATTTCTGAACACCAATCTTACCGATCGTCCCAATGCTGTATGTCTGTCCATTGCAGGTCTTTCAGCTTGGGAGGATTGCACAAGGCTGGCACATTTAGCTCTGCCTCTAGTCTCTTTAACTTTTTAAATGCAGGTTAAATACCCATATGACTCTTTTCAGCTCTGTGGTTTATGTTTTGGATTTAAAGAAACCTCCATGCAAAAAAAAAAGAAAAATCATTATTTTTTGAACCACCACACAGTCCTGCGAGGAGCTGATTCACACTTCTCCCTCTAAGGAGCTGATAAGGCTTTTAACTCTCTAACCATAATTGCTATACAATGATAGGCATGTGAGAAACAGAGAATAGACTGGAGATGCTCAAAGGAAGGAAAATCGGGAGAGAATACCAAGACACATGGGGAATGTGCCACAGATGATGGGGAGGTAAGACAAATCCCTGGAGCCGCTGATGAGCAACTTTGTGCCACCCAAAGAGCAAAGCCCATCCTTGTGTCCAGCTATAACAGCTGCCGAGCAGCACATGGATGAAGTGAGCATAAACCTCTAGGCTGACTCCCCAGAGTGTCTCAGAGCCCAGGGGTTTGGACCCCACTGCCCATCGTGCTGAGCTCATCCCTGCGTGGCCAGGTGGCCTGGCAGGGCTCCCCACACGGAGCCCAGTGACTGTGGGAAACAGCCAGAAAGCTCCTTCCAAACGATTTCACACCATCGGTACCCCCCCGTGGAAGCTCACCTCTCTGCAGTCAGTGACAGAAGCAGCAGGATGGATCTCTGCTGTAAGACAGCAGCCTCACCACTTGGGGCTAAGGTGGGTGCAGCTACCTCCCCCAGAAGCAGGGCAGGGGATGTGCCCCCAGCACCGCTCTGAGACGATGCAGTGCTGCTCCCATGCCCTTCCCATGCCCAAGTCTCTGCCCCAGGCTGGAGGCTGGGGTGCACAACACCCCAGCAGCTGTGCTGCATGAACAACGAGGACAGAGGTTTTTCACCACCTTGGGCAAAATCTTGGCTTTTCATTACTCCATAACAACTTCATCAATCATTTAATTTATTAGTGGGAGACCACACCTGTAGGTGCTGTTCTGTCTCCATGGGACAACCTCCCTGTTCGTCCCCAAGCCCTGGCCCCCGTCCAGATCCCGATCCCAAGCACTAGGGATGTGGCAGATGACCTGAGAGTGGGGTGGCAGGGGCTGCCTCTCCAGAAACGCAGCCATTTTCATGCTGAACCATACCTTCATCACAAAGAGGCAGAAATAGCCAGGGCTGGCTGCAGGGCCAAACTGCGTGGCCCTCAGAAACACAGCTCCTGCCCGCCACAGGAGGCACAGCCAGGCACAGCCAAAGAGAAGAAGTGTTGGAGGTGTACAAAAATCTCCAAGCATCTGCTTCGCAGTTTGCCATCCCTGCAGCCCTGGTAGTCGCTGCAGGGCAAGCAGTAAGCCCCCATCTGTGGGGATGGTCAATCCTGAATCCCTGCCAGGGGATCACACCTGCATCACGCTTACCCACCGGGATACTGATTCAGGGCACTGTTACAGTGCCCTGGTGCAGCTCTGACAGGTCTCACAGCCTGGGATCTCTGCCCATCCCTGTTGCCTCTGTTGCCTTTATGGTCCTCCCCTGCTTCCATCCACCCGCATACATGGCTTCCTTCATAAAACTGCCTTTCCCCAGGCCATTCCCATCAAATGCTGCTACTTTCTGTTTAGTGCATGTGCCCCAATACACTGCTCTGAGACACATTCAGCCCCAAGCACTGCTGCTGGTGGCTCCAACATCCCTTGCTCCCATCCTCTCCCTCTGCCTTTGGGGTGTTTGCACCAGCCTGACAAACAGCAACATGCTAAACAGCTTTACAGGAAGGTGTAGCCTGCAATTTTTTTTCCTCTTAACTGTACCATCTTTGGAGAGCCACCATGAATAAGAGGTAAAAAAGCCTGATGATTTAGTACTTTGATTTACAAGAGAGATCTAACTTGTGGTTGAGGTGTGTATGACTTAATTAAAAAGCAGAGGCTCACCGCCACTAAAGCTGTTCACTGCCAAGCTATCAAACGCAGAGGGGGAAGAGGCCTCAGAAGGAATATTTCCATAAAGTTATGTTTCAGATTAAGCATATATAAGAGCTCTCCCTTTCCAAAGCTGGTAGAAAGCTACAGCTGCTCCTTCATGCAATCACACACCATCCCCTCACAGCCTTCGCAGCACCAGCACACCTGTGTTTTCACAAACAGGGCTAGGACGGCTGGGTTGCAAAGCTGGACAGCCCTAAGCATGGGGACAGCTGCTAGTCCTAACAAGGTCTGCATGTTTTTTCTCTATTTATTTTTTTTCTTTTAAATTTGGCAGCATTTTGGAAATCAAGCGACATATTTAGTCCTTAAGAGGCACTAAAATGGAGCATTACAGCTTTTTCGCCTTACCCCTGCTGACCAAGCAGCAGGGAATATTTTCCCCTAGGAGACAGATTTGACTTAAGGCTCTGAAAGCCAGAGATGTCCACGGCTCATCTGGCTCACCTCCCGGGTACTGCAAGCTGCCAAACTGCACCCACTGGTCCCCTGCTCAGGGCTTCTCATCTCTTTGCTGGGCAAAACAAGCACCTCATCAGGGGGCAGGGCCACATCAAGGTTTCCACGAGGTCTGCCAGCCAGGGCTCCCTGCAGACAGCAGTGAGGCTTGCTCAGGGGGGGAGAGGTGCAGCTCCAGAATTGGGGGCACACCCAAACCTGTGTGGAAAGCGCTACTCGTAAACCGTGTCAGCACAGGGGTCTGCAATAAGAGAGGCATATGCAATGCCCCGGCACCAGGCGGGTGAGGCAATGTGGCAGCTATATCAAGGATGCATCAGAAATGCCAGCTGCAACTCAACACTGGCAGCTCCCGGTTACCAGGGATCCGGTTCCCTTGGCTTCCTTCCTGCCCCTCTCAGGCTGCAGAGCACCTGTGTGGAAGTGGAAAATCCAGGTCTGGGTGAGGGCTCCATGAGCCGCCCCCCCCGAGAGGTGACCAAGCCCTTGGGAGCTGTGTGATGCCCAATTCTGGCAGCCAAGGAGAAGCAAACGTGCTGGGTCCTGGAGTGTTTCCCGGGGGTCTCTCACTCCTAGCAAGCAGGGGCAGCATCGTGAATCCAGTGCAGAAAGGGCACACGGGTCCCTCTCTCTCCCTCTCCACCCAGCAGGTTGTCGCACTGTAGAGTTGGTTGAAACCAATCTGAGCTCCGCAAGGCACATAGCTCGCCCAGGTAGCAGCGGTTTGGTTAGAACAAACTAACCCAGCGCTGCAGCTTCACATTTTTGCATCCTGCAAGGCAGCCCTTTCCCATCCCGTTCCCACAGCCGTCTTCTGCGGCGTGCTTGGAGCCTTCCGGACGGTATTTTCTGGAGAGCTACAAAACACCGTTCCATGCCCGCCCCGTTTCAAGCTCCGGGATGCACTCCGGGCACGGCCAAGCAAGCGAAAGGCGAACGAGGAGCGCTCCATCCCCCAAGTGCGCCCCCAGACCGCGGCCTCCCTGCCCCGGGCAGAAGCACTCGGGGGGCTGCCAGCCCATCCCCGCGGGCTTGCCGGGGTGGGGATCTCGCCAGGCTGCACCCACGCCACCCGGCATCCTGTGGGGAAAGGGGCACGGGGAGCAGAAACACACCAAAGCGAAGAGAGCCAGGAGAGGAAAGCAACTCGGGGGGTAAACGGGGCGGCCTCGTCTCAGCCATCCCGTTCGCAGTCCCAAACACCGCTGCCAGTCCCCCTTCTCCCCACCCCCCTCTTCCGAACCCCGGACCCCCGACCCACCTGCGGGGACGGCACCCGGGCGCGGTGCAAACCTGCGGGGCTGGAGCAGCCCCGCCGCAGCCGCCGGGGACGCGGAGCTCGGCGCCGGCCCCGCAGCGCCCCGGTCCGGCCCGGCCTGGCGGGGGCGGGGGCGGGAGGGGCCGGGCCGGCCGCGCTCCTCCCGCCGGGGCGGTGGCGCCGGCGGCCCCGCTCCTGTCGGACCCGGGACAAAACTTTTCGGCAGTGGGGAAAAACGCCGGAGCCCCGGCTGTCCTGGCGGGGCTGGATCCTCCTTCACGCCGGCATCAAACCCTCCCCAAAGCAATCCCCGTGTGGGAGCCGAGAAAAGCGGGACCCTCTGGCACAGCCCACCCGCCTGGCCTCGGCTGACCTGACCCCGCCGCCGCAGCCCGTCAGCCCCGCGGTCCCACGGCTGTGCCCATCTCCTGTCCCTGCCGGCGGGATGCGCCCGGCTGGGAACGGGCCGCCTCGCTCGGACGCTCCTGTCAGCTGAGGCAGCACAAAAAACCCACGTCTGTGGCAAAACCGGCCCGAGAAGTGAGTAAAAGCGAGGGCGGCCAACCTCGTGCTCCGTGACCTGCTTGTGCCGCCCCATGGCTAGTGGTAGCCAGCGTGACTACTGCAATAGGTATGTGTGTGTGAGCAGCAGTCAGTGTCATACGGACAGACCCACCACCTCTCTCAGCATCCCAGTGCCGATCGTTTCCTCTCCTGCCTCCCACGGCCCTGATGCAAGCATGAACTTCGTGCTCTCTCCTCACAAGACATCAGCTCAATTTTACTGGATTTTCTTTCCCAACTCTGAAAGCCAAAAGCTCTGCTGCAGCACCAAAGTTTCTCTCCCAGCCTGCAGCAAAGTGCCAGGTACTACAAGAAAGGGCTGTTTGCAGACAGCTGTGCAGGTCTTCTCTCTTTTTACACTTCTGTTTACCTTATTATGTGGCTCTGGCATTAACAGTGCTAATTTTTCGTTCCTACCCATTCCCAAAGGTGCAGAACCACAGACCAGATACAGCCTTGGTCTGAATGGGAGCAGAGAGGTTTGCACAGCCCCGTTAGGCAGCTGTGCCACACAATGCTGTCATAATCAAACTGCAACCCTTTAGATCCCAAGCCTGGTAAAAGCATCCAGTTTGAGTCCACCGGTTTTGGCAGCAGCTCCCACTGTCCTTTACTAGATTTGACTGACATCTCAGATGAGAAGCTGCAATAGGACCTCTCCACTCCCTTTTCCCATCCTCTTCTGAGGCAAAACAGAGGGATGTACCCCTGCCCAGGGAGTCTAACACACTACTCTCCAGGAAGTATTTTCTAGCCTGGACAATGATGGGCAGTGAAGGCTCAGCCCTGGACCTTGAGCTGCTGGTGGGGCAGAGGGTCATGTCCAAAGCAGGGAAGGGAGGCAGGAGCCTTGTTACTGCCACATACAAAGGAGAATGAAAAAGCCCCTTGGAGACCAAGGTCCAGCCCTGGGGGCCAGATCTAAAAGCTGGAGACCCATGAATTAATTCTAAATTTTGGCACTGAAAGCAGCACCTCAATTTACAGAGTGCAGAGTATCTGTAGCTCACTGTGGCTATGACGAAGGTCTCTTATGTTTCAGTATTTCTGGAAATCAGATCTCTTTTAAAACATGCAGACTCTCAGACTGGACTTGACAATCTGGTCTCTGCCTCCGTAAAACCAGGATCATAAATAGAAATGTCTCTCAGCAGGTAGGGAGGGAGAGGAGTGAGAACCTGACTGTTCACAACTGAACAGGAGTAAAGTGCCTTATTTCTGGTTCCTCCCAAAGCTAACAGAGAGTACTCCTATTGCCCACTGACTCATGCTTATTACTAAGCACCTTGTAAACAGCAGTAATGAGAAAATGCCGCTTTGTGCCTGCTTTGGTTTTGCTCCTGGGTTTTGCTCTCAAAAAAGAAAATATAAATCTCTGGGGGTACTGACATTTCCACGGCAACTGTTACAGACACGTGCACATGTATCACCTCTTTGTTCCTCACCGGCAGAAGTGGGACCACAACTTTACCCCAGTAAGTTCTGCAGACCTCCGAGAGCTGGGATGTCCCTCCAGGTGTCACTTGGCATTGTCAAAGAACACACAGTTGCAGCCAGGATGTTGAGCGCTCAGGGAGAATCACCTGGGTGTTTTGTCCAGAGGCACAAAAGCGTGTGCTGCACTACAGGTATGCACCAAAGAAGGATTTGTGCTTCCTAGCAGGCAGGAACAGAGGTCTGGAGAGGCACAAGCGAGGGCAGAAAGCACATAGTTAAGGTGAGCTGTGTTACAAACTCTGCAGGGTCAAGGCTTTTTCATGCCAAAGGATCCTGCTGTGCATAAAGAGCAGTCAGTAACCCCGGGTTGGAAACATGTTGCCCCACACCAGAGAATAACTGGAGCCCAGCAGCAGCATAGCTGAGCCTGAGGCTGGGTCCCAGGAAGGGAAAGCAAAAGCTGAACTCACTTGAAAGTGCCAGGGCAGGCAGGATGCAATTTTCTCCATCTTCCATGTCTTGCCTCTTTCCTTGCTCTTTTTAAACATCCTGCTGAAAAGCTGGACTGCAGAGCTACCTGGGGGGGGTCCAGTATCCATCACAACACTCCCTGATAAGAAGGATAAACCACCTTCTCTTGACTGCTGCGCTGGCTCTTCATCCTTAGTACCTCATTCATCCTGCATGGAGTTACTTACACATCATGCCTGCTGGATCCTTCTTGGGAGTTGCGATGACCTGGGACACAGCTCCTCGTTTTGGAGGGATGGCCCGTGTCATTTGCTCCAAGATGCATACCATGGTTTGATACTTACTTCAAGCTGACTGTGGAAAAAGGGGGGCTTGGACCTGAGTTTTGTGGAATGAGAGTCCCTACTTGCCAGTCGTTAGCAGTAACACCTCTCTTCTGGGCTCTGGCATGTAGCATGGTTTCAGCCCACTTAACACATACATTTTGTCCATCCTCAAGTATTCACATTCAACTAGAGTGTCACACAGAGCTACATCAAAACCGCCCTCTACTTTAATGGTGGCCTTCGGTCATCTGCTAAATTCTTCTTAAGCAGCTCATATTGCAGTCAAATTTCACTAAATTTGTCTAAGCTTTCTTCAGGATGAACTGCCATTTGTGTGTTCTTCTTTTTGGGGAAATTTAGTCTCTTGGAAAAGCCAAACCCATATATGCCTACCTACAATTGTCCTGACTTTGCTCGAATAACTCATAATGAGGCAAGTGCTCAGCAACAAACTCTTCTTTACCCGCCACCATGAATCTGAAAAGGATACTGGTGTGTGTGCTGGATGGATGCATCCTCTGCTGGGAAATTGTTATCCAGCACATTCAGAAACTCTCATGAGACTTCACTGTGGCCTGCAGGCAATCTCCACAGATGTGTCCTGGAATTAAATTATCTATGCAAATACAGTTTTCTTTTCACACGTTGCAAATAAGCCTGTAGAGAGAGATCCATCCTAGGCCTCATTTAATGAGGGAGTCAGTTACACACACAGGCTTGCACACAGCACTCCCTCTTGGGCTTTCCTGATCTACATGCAGCCTGCTCTGAGCAACCCCTGTTGTAAAACGGGTAATGTTGCCATTAGCATAAGCACCACCCTTCTGTCTTTCACGCGCTATCTCCTTTCTCGGCATGCGGTAGCCAGCAGTTGTAACATCTCCAGTAAAGAAAGCATCTGGCGCACTTAGGCAATAGCACTTTTGTCCAATTCATTCATGAAAGGGAAACTTTTTTCACTTTTTCCTCTTACAGACAAAGTTTCTTCTTCTGGAATTTAAACAGCTGATTATTTTCTTTTCACACACCCGCTTAGTCCGTGGTCCCTTAAGTTGTTGAAACTTTTACCCATCTGAAGGCTCACTTTGCAGGGTTCATTAAAAACATCGTGCCTTTCCCAGCCCATTTCCAGCACATGAGGCTGTGCACTGGGCTTTGGACAGGCAGGCCATCCCAGAGCACCATTCCATCCCCAAGAACCAGGGCTGAGTGCCCCACACAGTGCAGCCTCTCAGCAAACACCAGCCAGTACTTCAACCTCCAAGATCTTCTATCCTCTCCTCCTGCTCACGGGAACAGGACCTTGGACTTTCTTCTACTCTTCTGAGGTTTCTAAAGGCTTGAACAATCTCTTGTTGTTCCCACACCATCCTGTTACCTTTCTGACCCTTCCTAAACAGTCTTTTCTCAACTCCTCTTCATTCTCCTTAACGGAAGGTGCTCATTATAATCACTTGCCTTGTTAAGGCAACTGGGGACATGTGTGGGCTACTCTTACAAATTGAGCCAAAGAGCTGCCCTCAGGGAGGTTCCCACTGCTCACTCCTTTTCTCCCAGTACATCCTGGAACACTGTCCATTCAGATGGTGAAATCTCTGCCAGGAGTAGTTAGGTGCAGCTGAGAACAGCAGTATGGACCAGATCACATTCCCTTTCAAGCCTGTTTTCTATGCCTCTGTGAAGTGCTTTAAGATGACTTTGTAACTCACTCCTGCCACAGCAAATTATGAGGCCAGCTAGTGCCTCTCCATCCAGGGCAAATTAAAAAAACCTGCTTCCTTTGTAATTCAAGGTCCTGCATCTTCCCAGGTTTGAAACAATCTCTCAGAAAGATGTTCTCACAATCTTTGTATGGTTGATGTGGACCCCATTGTTGTTAGGTGGACAAGCCAAGATCTTAGGAGTGATCCAGGTGGGGAGAGAAATAGGAAAAAGTGGGGAGAACCAGAGGAATCGAGAATATGGTGGAAGAAAAGCACAAGTGGCATGCAACCCACATCCCCTTGTAGCAAAAGCTGTGGTACTTTGAACATGTTTAGGGCTGGAACATTAGCTCCAGCGTGGTTTTCACCATGAACAGAACTGAAGTTCACTCCCACTGGTGAAAACTGGTTTGTTAGCAACACCCTACTCATCCTGCCTGTCTCTTATGTAAAGTAAGGCTAATCCGAGAATCACCTGACAGGGGGCCAGGTCAGAAAGTCACAGAAGGCTTGGGCCTGAGACATGACCTTCTTTCAGCTGCTGTTTGGCAGTTCCCTGTAAGAGCAGAGGTGGAAAGGCTGGT